CAAATCCAGCAATTTCATTTTTTTTTTTTTTTTTTTTTTTTTTTCGTTAATATTTTCTTCTTCTTTTTCACTTATCATTATTTTTTCTTAAATAAAAATAAATAATGAAGTGACATAATACTAGAGTTACAGCTAAAGCTTAAAATCATTGATCAACAATAATTATAAACCTGCAAGTAAAAATATTATTATTTATGTATTGGTGTTATGTATTAATTAGTTTCTGTCTTCTCGCATTTTATTTTCTCTATAACATTTCATTAATAAATATCCTAAAAAAATGACAGAGTCATAAGACTCAATGTCATGTCGGTACTGCTAATAATATATTTTCTATGTATTGTATTGCAATGAGCATCATCACAATAAATACTTCGATGCAGGTTTCAATGCATGGTCTCAACCCCATGGCACTATTCATCCTTTTATTTAATTATTATTTTATATTTATTTATCCTTAAATTTATACAACGGTTGTATCATTTGATCGATTATTTGACTTGTTATCTTCATAAATCAAACAATTATACGAAAGTTAAATTTTATTGGATCGCATATATGCTTGATAGAAAAATGGCTTTCAATTTTTTTTTTTCACATGATTATCTGCAATATTAATAAATATGACTTTGTTCTATTTATTTGATAATCATCTTCAACAAGTTTATATATTTCTTAACAAGAATTACTATTATTACCTCGTAAATATATTGTTGAGACAATACGCTTAAAACTTCAATCTTTTTTTATTTATTAAGTCTTATAAATTTTGTGTGCTGTTAAAAATGACGTGCTTTTTGATAAATTGATTCATTAATTATTTATATTGTACATATTTAATAAAAATCACAACAGTAATGATTCAACGATTTTTAAATAAATAAATATATTAATATAATTTATTTTTAAAATATATGTTGATGATTTATCTTAATTTGTGATAAAATATTTCATTTATTTGCTTCTTGTTTTGTTTTTTTTTTGTGATGATTAAAACTTCCATATTTACATTTATTTACTTTGTTCTTATGATTAGATTACAGTATACTCAAGTGATAATAACGACGGTAAAAATGAGATATACCTTAAATATTGATTCAATTAATTTAATTGATAGTACGTTTGAATTTATCTATTGTATCATAAACTTGATATTTCGGACTGGCTTTTAAACAATTAACAATAAATGTGATATAATCATTTAATAATAAATATTAGATCTAAAATACTTTAGACCACAAGCCTTAAAAATTCAGTTGTTAATTTATAAATATTTCACGCGCTTATGTGTTAAATAGCTGACATTGTTCTAATAATATAGGTATTCAACTTTGAAATTGATTGAATTTTATTCATTTGCTTTTATGTATATTTATTTTTCTTCTTTTCTCTTTGTTTTTTATGAGGTAGACAAGTGTATTATCCAAATAGCCTCTCATAGCTTTGAGTAACGTTCAAAATAATATTGAGAAAATAAAATTATCATTTAAGAGAAAAATAAGTAGAATTATTGAATTCTACGCTTAGAAAAAAAAAATCTATGCTCTAGCTGGGTACTAATTTAAATAAATAAGTTAATGACAATAAACAACCGATTGACGACTGTAACAATAAATCTATAGCTTAAAAATGACTCAATATTCGGCAAAATTATTCTCAACTTGTACTCATTGATTTAAAAGCATTGTTGAATAAAAAGCTTCTCAAGTGACGAGTTTCGAAGCACGTGAACTATTTTAAACACTCTTTCTCTCTCTCTCTCTCTCATATAAACAAAAAAATGGTTAAATAAAATGATTTTGAGTTACTCTGTGACTCATGACTTCTATTAATTAATTAAAATAAATATATCAGCTTTGAATACTGAGTTGTAAAATTATTTAGTACTTCCTGCATCGATTTTACAGTAACCGACATATTAAATATGACACAAAATATGTAAATATTTCTATACGTGAAAATAATGAATTTTAATGATTATTATAAATTTTTTAATTTTAAACCATAGGCTCTCCTTGATCCATTTCTTCTACGGATATATATAATCCTTCTTCTTCATAAGTCGACTCGTGTTTAGCGAGTACTTTCAACAAGGGACGAAGTTTTATCCACCATTGCTGTTTAGGAATACGATGTCTGAAAGTGATTTTAGTAAGGATAAATATTAATTAAAATTGTACATAATAATTTTTTAATTATTTATCAATTAAAACTCACTCGAAATCAGTTTGTTCTTCAAGATCTGACAATGGAGTATATTTGTATTGACGTTTGATGATACCTAACATAACAGCAGTATCTGGAGTAGAAGCGTTTACAACACCGTCAGGTGATGTGTGTTTTTTAAGTTGATCAGTAAACCATTCAACAGCTTTCGCTCCCATTTTAGTACCTAAGTTACGGTCAAATGGTGTAGGTGACCCACCTTGTTGCATATGACCTGTTTTATTAAATTTATCATCAATTAATAATTTAAAAAGTGACTTAGACATTAAAGATTTCAAGAACTTAAAAAATCTTCTAAATGATAGATCATAAATAAAAAAAACTAACCGATGATGTTAGAGCGACAACTGAACAGGCCTTTTCCTTCTTCACTGAACAATCTTTGCATGAAATCGGTGTTATAATTAAGATTACTACTTTCATTTCTTAGAATAAGACCTCGCTGAACACCTTCAGACATTTTAGCAGCCATAGCGACAACATCTCGATTCAAATCTTTAATATTGAATTTTTCTTCAAAGATATAAGCTGCATCTGCACCACCTGCAAGACCAGCAAGAGTCGCCAAATAACCACAATAGCCGCCCATAGTTTCGATAATAAATACACGGCGTTTTGTTCCTTGTGCTGATTGACGAATACGGTCGCAAATCTTTAATAAATAAAAAAAATAATAATGAAATAAAATAAAATGTTGGTAAATCGAACTATTCATACCTCTGTAATTTCATTCAATGCCGTGTCACAACCAAGGGAAAATTCAGTTCCGGGAACATTGTTACTGATGGTCGCAGGTATCATTGCAATAGGTATTTTAAATTCAGGGAATTGTTTACGTGCGTCTATGAACGAAAGACACGTCTGGTAACCTTCGAACCCACCGATAATGAGCAAAGCTTGAATACCAAGTTCCTTCAGCCGTGCAGCTATTTGTGGCAACTGATCTTCTTTGGGAGGCGCACGTTTTGTACCAAGATACGCTCCACCCTGAGCGACCCATCCTGTTACAGATGACCAATCCATTAACTTAACTTTGCCAGCTTCTAAACCCGCGACACCGTCACAAACACCATAGACTTTGTCTCCTCTGTAGATACAATTTCTTACAAATGATCTTACGGCTGCGTTCATTCCACACGATGGAGAACCAACGTGCAATACCGCAAGTGTATATTGATCCTGAAAAATTAATTGTTTATTTTAATCTTGGCATTAAATATAATACATCTGTATTAATTTAACAGAAAACAAAAACAAGAGATTAGGTAACTTAACAAGTATCACATTCCATGCATTAATTCTGTGCAGTGTAACTTACTTGACCACATAGTGTTAATTGCTTAAAAAAAAAAATAAATATATATTTATTTTCAACACATTGATAATTATTAAAAAAATTAGTTTCAATTAGTATTTAAAACTTAATGTAACTAGCATTCGTATTAGTATTTTTTATTATCGATTAATTACCTTTGTTAAGACGTGTTCGATGCTGTTCTAAAGCAGCATTAAACATAAATACGGAAACCCATAATTAATACCCAATAATAAATTTAAGACTTTCTTAATATTTGGATTACATTGCACATAATAATTATTATATAATATGATCATTATAGAAGTATTACATACAACATAAAAATAGTTTAAGAATTTAATATTACCTTGGTGTCTTGAGAACCGATTGGAGCTTTCAATCTTGTAAGCATTTTGTAAGTTTCCAAGTTACGGGCAAAACCTCTGTCAGATAAAAAATAAAAAAATTCAAATAAGCCTTAAAATTTTAACAATCAAACATATAGACTAATTACCAATTGGTCTAACTCCTTATTTTTTAGAGGGTGATTTTTTAACATTTTGATTTAGTAATAGTCCAATTATAAATTACTAGCTGTTACTTGCCCGCTCCGCCGAGCGCTTTATAGAATTGCATTTTTAGATCTAGACTTGAAATTTAATTAAAGTATTGTTTTAACTTGACAGATTCAAAATTCTGTCGAATTGGCATGCACCTTTTATCCATGTAATTATTCTAGCTAATATTAATTGTAACTTTCAATGTGCAATCATTATAAAATTCCCGTGTCTTTCTTACAAAAATGAATAATTAATATGAAAAAAAAAAAAAAAAAAAAATTTGTAATGAGCATTGAAAGTTTCAGTTAAAGAAATTACAAGTCTCATAAGTGAAGAAATCTGCCTAGTATATAAACATAACCAATAGAATTAAAAAATTTATTTTTAACAAACGACAATCGAATAGAATAAATTTAGTTGCAATAAAAATTCATTATTTATAAGTCAAAAAAAATATAGATTCCGGATAAGTAATTACCAACATGTCATATACTAAAACCTTCTCCGAAACACGCTGCATCTTATGGTATTAGTATTATTCCGATCGGTTCAGTAGTTTTCGCAGTATAACCGGACAAAAAAACCAGCTCTCCATTTATTAGTATAGATAGATAGATTTGAATTATCCTAACCAAAATATATTATACCTCTATTAAATATTAAATGGTTTTTTAAAATGATAATAAATTTAAAACTAATTGTATTTTCGTACAAATGGAAGATTCTCTAAAATGGAGTTAGACAATTTGCTAATTAGAGCGTCGATATGAGTAATCGAGAGATTAACTAACTTTCCACGTAATTGAACAGCAAGATCCCAATTTTTATCAGCCATAGCCTGAGCTACGGCTTTAGTACGATTAACACAATCCATCAAAGGTAAACGGACCGCTTGATTTCCATCAAGAGTAACAACACAGGCTTCGGTTTCAGGTGTTGCTTCCATCAAAGCCATCACAGCTTCTGCACCCATTCTACAACCCTGAGAAAATATTATTTAATAGTTTATTTATCTGAATCTATCAATCATCAACTCTTACTTTGCATCAGATAACTTTGATGTATTAATATAAATAGCTACAAACCAAAATTCTGTCAAAAGCTGAAGGATTACCACCACGTTGCACGTGACCGAGTACAGTTATCCGGGTGTCTTGTTGCAATTTATTGACGACAACTTCACGAACTTTTTCAGCAGTAATTGGATCTCCATTTCTGTCAACTGCTCCTTCCGCTACGATTATAATATTCAAACGTTGACCCGTAAGACGTTCCTAAATAAAATATAATTGATAATTAATAATTGTTATATAATATTTCTGTAGTTAAATTAAATAACTGTATTGTATGTTACATAAAAAAATACACTAGGATTACTTAGTTTGTTAATTTAAATAACATCAGTGATAAATTATGATAATCATTTTTTAAAAACGATTATTCATTAATGAACTATGATAATTTACATTTAAAAAAGAAAAAAAAAAACAAACTGCAAAAGCATGCTAATGTAGTTGATAAAGCATGCAACCACAGCAATGCATAATGGCTCACTTGTAAAAAAATTAAAATTTATAAATTTAATGATTGTGAAAAATTGTCTTTTGATATCTTTTAATAAAATTTATAACTATTTAATTAAATATAAAAATAAATTTACCAATTTAATGAAGCTATTCACTAGCTATATTGAAGATTTTGATAAATATTGTAAAAAAAAATGAAAAAAAAAAAAAAAAATTACTGATAGCGAACCTGCAATAATTTTTTGCAGAGCTTGTTTGGCCAGTCACGCTCTGGTGGCCACTCTGGGATGAATACAAAGTCGGCTTCGGAACACATAGCTGCCACTAGAGCCAGGTAGCTGTAATATTATATAATGATACCTAACTGCACTACTAGTAAGAAAACATTATAAGGGATAGTTATTTCATTATTATTATTATTATTATTATTATTATTATTATTACAGGTTGTAATGACAATAACTAGTTATTAATTGACTAAATAGGGTTTAGCTTTTATATGATGACAAACAACACGCTAGCATGTTTTTAAATATTTAAATATTTACCTAATAGAAAAAAAGGGATCACACGATATCATTAGTATAATTTTTATCAGGGTTGTGGTTTAAGGGAAACCTGATCGGTTATAAAGCTTAATTTTTGGATCTAGCTGGATATTTAAATAACAAGCCTATATATAAGCTTCAATTTCTTAATAAATAATTATTGGTAATTTATCTTTTCACATAACCGTTCAAATAATTTAATATTTAACAATAATATTGAAATTTTTAAGACAATCTTAATCATAAGAATGGAAAACAAGCATAATGATGGTGATATGACGAGCAGCCACAAAAATTCGGTTCATTTAATTTTTTATTTATAAAAAATCACTTTATATTTAATTAGTCTACTGAAGTTAGTGTAAAAAAACCTGAACGAATAGACGAATAGTAAAAAATGAATAAATAAATTTAAGTAAATCAATTGAGTAATATCACATGCCTGTTCCAACTTTTTACATAGTTTATCAGGCCAGTCGACGGGGGGTGGAGATTCTGGAAAGAATACGTAGTCTGCCTCGGCGGCTAATGCGCCCACGATGGCCAGGTACCTACCCAAAGTTACAACTTATTGTGTAATATTATTTTTTACGTTATTAAGTATCTAATAAATGCAATTCTGATTTTAAGAAGTACCCTGAGAAGAAGGATTTAATTATTACCGATAGTCAAGAAATCTGATGTAATAACTGTTTATATTAGAGTGTTAAGAACGTTCTAATTATTTAAAGTTGAAATATTCTTTTTTACGTATATATGTAGAATTTTTAAATTTCATTATAAAAATGGAACCTTGGAAACAAATGAAAAGAATAAAGTAAAATCATTAATGTCATTATGACTATTAGAACGTTCTTAGATAGAAATAATAAAACACTGGATAATATATAGATCTAACAGTGTTAGTAATTAATAACTTACCCACAATGACGACCCATGACCTCCATAATAAATGTTCGTTGATGCGAGTACGCAGTACTGACGATTGCATCAATGCTCTCTATTATACGATGTAACGCTGAGTCTGTACCAATTGTCATGTCTGTTCCACAGAAATCATTGTCTATAGAACCTACCATACCCACGATATGAAGATGACAATATTTTTCAACTTGTTCAGCACTTATTTGACCTAAAACATCCATAGAAAAATATAATATCAATCAAGTTGAAATTTATCAAAGTGGTTACTAAAAAATTACCTGTGCTCTCTAATTCCTTCAACAGATCACGATACTCAGTTTTAAATAAATTAGCGCCAGTTAATGAACCATCACCACCAATTACGACTAAGTCTGTAATACCACGAGTGACTAAATTTTTAGCAGCTTTCAAACGTCCAGGACGTTCTTTAAAGTCCATGCATCTTGCTGAACCTATTACGGTACCACCCTAAATTATTAAAAAAAAAATGAACGCATAAAGTCAGTACTATTTCATCATGGTATAAGTATTGATTGGCAGAGAAAAAAAAAAAATTCGTGAGCTCACTCGATGGATGATGCAAGATACAGAAGACCAAGTTGCTTCGACAATATTATCTCCTCCATCTACCATACCTTGATATCCTTCCTTTATGAAGAATACTTTGCAGCCTAAATAAATACCCATACGTACAACGGCACGCACAGCCGCATTCATACCTATTTAGGAAACAAATAAATTTATTGCGTCATATCATTGATAAATAATTATTTGAATAATATAGTAGATAGATTAATTTTATTTACCTTGTGAGTCACCTCCACTAGTGAATACTGCCAGCCCTTTGCCTTTATGACTTCCGGGCTTTATAAATTTTGTTGATGCGTGTTCGTCTGCCATTTTTTTTGGACAAGTGTCTGACATATACTGAAAATTTTTAATTTATATACAAATTAATAACAATAATCAGTGGACTTTTACCTCCAGACAATGATTGAAAGTTAATTTTTTCGGATGAAGGAAAAAATTTATTTGTTTAAATTATTAGTAAAAAAATAAATGTAATTATCAATAGTATCAGTTATTTTTAGTATATTAATTCCAATTAAATTTATTCATTTTTTTTATTAATTAAAAATATCTTGGACATTTTTTCTACAACAAAAGTTATTATTATATATTTTTTCTAACTTAATCAATTTTTTAAATGATTAATTATTTTTTTGCAGTACTGAAAATAACAATTTAAAATTTTTGTCTTTGAGGTTTACAAAAAGATTTTTTTATCTTATTTGTTTTAGAGTGTATCGCAGATTAAAATAAATAATAAATAAATAAATAAAAACGTTTAGTTTTCTGCTTATCATAACTGTTATAATCTAGTATTGATATTTTTTTTCGCGATTGGGTGTAAAGTACATTACTTAATAGTAAAAAAATAATTTTCTTAGAATATAATTTTATGAGTTGAAATATGATACTAAAGTTAGCCGACGTTTTTAATTATTTGATTTTTTTATTAATAATTAAATTAAAACAAAAAAATATTTAAAAAAAATTTCACTTACAGTTTTTCAAGTTTTTTACAAGTGACATTTTTTAAAAATTTTTTTGTAATGATTTTTACAATAAAAAAAAATTCTAAAAATTTTTAAATGTCGGCTAACTTAATTTTCATGTTCAAATACATTACAAAAAATCTTAAAATCATTCAGTAAGATTGCATTTAAATTTTGTATCGCTGATGGAATTTAACAACAATAGTTTTAATATTTATTCCATGAATGTTATGACAAAAATAGCCGTTAAACCTTGAATAATTTTTATCGCAACTCTAATATACACAATTTACATATACGTATTGTATAACCTACAAATAAAAAATATATGACTACTGAAGTTCAACAATAATGTTTTTACAATATTATTTTTTTTTATCTGACACAAAAAAAAAAAAAAACAATTGAAGCATCGGGTTACTCATTGAAAATTGACATGTCATTTAAGTGTCAATTTTCAAAATTCAATGGAAGATTAAGAATTTTAACGAGTAAAGCGAGTAGAACGAGAAATAATTCAAGGATTTGTGTAGATATTTTTAAACAAAAGACAATTGTTATTTTTTTTATAAAATAAAAAAATAACAATAATAATAACAGTGAAAAGTAATAAAAAGCATGCGACTTTGACAGTTAATTTAAATGACAACTGATAAATAATCACATTTTGTAACACACAAAACTATCACAGAACACTTGAGTTTAAATCACTTACGACTGAATAAATATTAAAATTAATGAGATAAAAATAAATTATAGCAAAGCTTAAGTGAAAATTATTTTTGGGTTATTTAAATGAAAATTATTTGAATTTAAATAAATAGATAAAGTGTATTGTAATTTAGATTTTAAGCACCTTAATTGTTTAAGAGTACTGACAGAAGTCACCTGCACGTCGTTCCGGCCACTTCTGTCGTTGAAGGTGACCTTAAATTAACTCGTGTACACCCTCTTCACACCTCCTTACAGTTCCTCGAGTAACCTTCAATACATTAAATATTTAGCTCAGTGCCAGATGGCGCTCTTTTTAAACCAATCACGTAGCTTCAATTTCGCGCTGGAATTTATTTATTTTTTTTTTATTTATCCACTATTTTAAGATTTTACGATTTTATCCAATGCATGTGTTTATATATTTTTTTTAAATTGTATTTGTTGGATTTAATTTTTATTAATTGAACTGTAAAATTTGCAAAGGCTGTTGTGATGGATTTTTTTATTGGTGCGTATGTCACCAACAAGAGGATATGATGTAATTTAGTCAATATAGGACACTAGACATTGGAATAAATCGATTTTCGTCAGCTAAATAAATGTAATAATCATAAACGTTATCTAATTTTAACGACTAGACAATTGCTTCAATTTTGAGACGTATTTTTATTGATGCGTAGAAAATATTAATTTTTTAATCTTAAATTTTTATGATACTAAAGTTAGCCGACGTTTTTAATTTTTGGATTTTTTTTTTAATAATTAAATTAGAAAAAAAAATATTTTTTAAAAATTGCACTGCCAGTTTTTAAAGTTTTTTACAAATGTAATTTTTTTTTATCATTTTTTCAATTAAAAAAAATTATAAAAATTTTTAGATGTCGGCTAACTTAATTTTCATAAATTTTTAATAATAAATATTGCCTATTAAATTGATAATTACAATTAAAAATTTTTTTTTAAATTCAATTATATTTTTTTGTAACTTGACTAAAATTTATCATTGATTTTCTTTCCATTGCGTCAGAATCATAAAAATTATGATATTGAAATTGATAGAGATATTTGATGATTTTTAGCACATAAATTACAGCAAAAAGTTTATTTAATTCCATCCTGAAAAACTCTAAAAAATTATAAACACAATTTTTTAGGCCTAGTTGATTTTTCAAGAAAAATCCAAAAATTATGAAGTGTCTGTTAATTACAGTATTTTAAAAAATTTATTTTATTTATAAAAAATTAAAAAACATTTGCTTAAAAATTTCAAAAAAATCCATGACAAATTTTCATTTATTTTTTTTAAGGATCATCGACTTTAACCGATAAGAATTTTTCATTTTATACCAAACAGTTTATTAATCTCAACAATATTCAATGAATATAATTACAAAAGTCTAAAAATTATTTATCAAGATAAAATTTTGGAAATTTTATCAAAAGTTAGTAGATAAAATTGTTAAAAGAATTTAAAAAGAACCGTAACTCAAGTTATCATTAGCAGTTCAAATATTCTCTATTTTAAATCTCAAGAATTAGAAAAACAAAATTATATTTTAGGAAGTGACTGACGTTAAAAAAAAAAAAATATTTTTTGTTGTATTATTTTTAAATTCAACTTACCGTAAATCTTGCATCACCCAGAATCGTCGAAGGAATACGGTTACGATGACGCATAAAAATTACTCCAAGGTACGAAATACGTGCCAAAACTCACGTTCCGAGAGAAAGCATTTTCTAGTTTGTTCTAATCTACAGCTACTATTATAATATTGTCTATAAAAATTCCCAGAGATGCTTAGAATCTGATTCAATTTTTTTTTGCTTTGTCAAAATTTGGACTGGTTAATAATTAGAGTTTTTTCGTCGCTTTTACATTTTTATTTACAAACATTTGTCCCGCACATATTTTTATTTTAATATTCTAACTTCATCATTTAACGTCCAAGTAGATAGTTATTTTTATTTATAATATTTAAAAAATGTTTAAATAAATGAAAACTTTAATTAATTCTACTTCGTACGGGAAGAACCATCTAAAAAATCAACTACGTTTTTTTTTTTCTCAAAGCAAACTGATTTATAAAAGAGCTGAGGGTACTAAAGTTAGGAATTGTATTATTTTTGAATCTAAATTTTTAATTAAGACTATTTTCAATTTAAAAAAAAAATATATATGGAATGTTTGGTATTAAATTTCAAAATTATGGATTTAGTTCTAGCTAGTTAAAAAAATCAACTGTAAAATTTGTATACAGTTTAATAATTTTTTTTTTTTGTATCTGCATCTAATTTAGCATGTAATAAATACCCTCATTAATATAGACAATACGTATAAATTGTGCAAAAATTGTGTAGCATTTTTTTTGTCATAATTATTAAGTAGGCCCTTTGTTTTGAAAAAGGCACATACTTGTATCTAGTACATATATATCGTTAATACATATATGCAACGCGTAAAGAAAGATAATAATTTACAATATTTATATTTATTATTTATATAAGTAACTACTTATCGTATAAATAATTTAATTAATTAACTATCGCAATTAAATTTAAATAATGGAACGTAGAATTAATGTATGGAACGCATGCCTCTTTCAATAGAACCACTAAATTTAAAAAAGACTTTTAAGCTTTCTCTTAGATATTATTAGCCTTTTCGAACTCTTTTAAAATTATTTTATGTAAATTTTTACAATTATTAATTAAGGACAATTGTCACACTGGATTGATAAATGGTTTTTATAACGATCTTTAAGTTTAATATTTTTTAATTTTTTTTAGACATTTTATCAGAATTTATTATTTCGTGTAAACGTTTATAATAATAATTATAATTTACAATTACGATGATTGATGATAAATACAAATAGAATAACGTAATTTGGAAGTCGGGAGATAAGGGAGGATGAAAGTAATTTATTTGGGTAAAGATGAAGTGTAAACTCGCTTTTTTAAGTTTATTTTTTTCGTTCCTCTCTTCTGTTGTTATTGTTGGTATTGTGTCAAGAAAGCGCGAAGTTGTTGCAATGATAAAAAAAAATGTCCTTTCACGTAATTTATAAATTCTACTTTTTTTTAATTATAGAAAAAAAAAAAGAAAACACAACGGATTAAATATTAATGAATGCTGGATGACAAAATAGCAAAATGGAATGCAAAAGAAAACTACTTAAAAACGGAAATAAAGATTTAAAATAAATAAAAAGTAATATTAATAAATAAGCATCATTTAATAAGACAATTATTTTTGAAACATTAAAAACGCGATTGATATGAAATCGCCTAGCAGGCAAACGTATCTGCAATTAAAATTGTCTTGTTCTCTTAATATGTTGATTAATCAATCGTTCTTCTCTGTACTTTTAACAGACACCGATACAACATTTAAAAATATCAACACGACAGTAAAACGTTTATCCAAATGTATAATATTAAATTTTTTTTTTTTTTTGTTTGCAATATACACATAAATGCACGACAGAGAAAGAGCGCTCGTTGATGAAATGTTAATTTTTTGTATTAGTTGTTTTACATGTTATTTTAATGCACGTTTAATTAGTTACGTATACAATACATTAAATGTATCGTTAGATGACAATTACGAGTAACATACAGTTATTTTATTTTTATATTATATCAATATAAATATATATTTTTAATATATATTTGTTTTTCTCTCGAAATCGCTGCTTAAGTTGGAAGGACATTGAATGTGTTTGATTTCATTTAATTTATTAATAACTTTTTTTTTTCTTTATTATACACTTTATTTAGTAATTGCCGGTGACTTTAATTCGCGCATTTTCGTACTACATACTTCTTTTATTTTCATTTGTATTAAAATAAAAAAATGTTTTCTCACCAGTTAAACGAACACGCGTCTTCTCGACTGTGGATATTTGAGGATCGTCTTCATTTTTTATCTAATATATATATATATATATATATATATACCCAGAAAATAAGAGCAACTGAATCAATCGAAAAATGTACTTTAAAAAATAAAAATATTAATAAAATTTAAATAAAATATAAGCAAAAGAAAAAGTATGAAACTAACAAATTGAATGAAAAAGCGAGAAGAACCAGAACATCATATAATTTTTTTTTTTTTTTTTTTTTTTTTTTTAACAAAAATGTACAACATACAATTTTACATGATTTCACTTTTATCCTCTGTCGGCCTCACATTCTTGAACAATAACACGAATTATTAATTGTTTAAATATCAATCACCTCCGGCATATTAAATATTTATTCATTATATAAAGTTAAGATGAAAATTGAGATTAATATTAAATAGACAGAAATGTAATTAATAAAAACATATAATCCGGAGAAAATGACAATTTCAATATTAAAATTCTCTTTTTTTTTTTATCTCTCGTATTGTTATTAATACAAATTTTGTTATTGGGAAGAAAGAGGATAACGATCATGAGAATGGTAATATCAGTTCACGATGCCTCACAACTTATGTGGCATAATTGTAATTATTAATTTATGCAATTGTCATTAAAAATCAAAAGTCTGTTATTAATTATTGCAGGACTTACTTTGTATTGTATTGACAAATTAAAAAAATAAAAAAAAAAATAAAAGATTTAACATATTTTCTTTGTCAATGTGCTTTTGTTTATTTATTTTGTTTTTAATTATCGTTTTAGTTTAGTTTTTTAGTGTCTATTAAAGAGGCGGACGTTGATGGTGATGGAGACAAATTAAAAAATAAAAAAAAAAAGGAAGGAAAGCGAATACGAGAGAAAAATACGTGCTTTTTTCAACGATATAAACGTTAGCTTTTTTTATGTGAGTCAAATGCAAAAAAAAAAATTCAAGTTACCACTGATGTTGCATTAGAACTTAATTAACTTAATGTATTTTTTTTTCTTTCGTTTACTCTCCTTTCTTCTCATGCGTTCTTTCCTTCATATAATAATAATAATATTAATAATAATAATTATAATAATAATAATAATATTGTACTCGCTAGACAATGTGAAATTTAATTTAATGACGACTGACTATAATATAGTAAATTGATGCGTGTATCTTCCTTTTTCATTCAACTTGTTATTTTTATTTTTCCTGTTGTTTTAAATGTTGATTTTCGTTTTATCAATCTTCGGTTTCTTTAGTTCTCTATTACACATACACACACTTGATTGTTAAATGTAAACCGACGGATCAAGTAAATAGTAGATCAAATTTAGCGACAATATACAATTGTTCAATTGTCCTCCTTTAATTATATTGCCATTGGAAATTTTACTTATTCTCTTCTCTCGAATTATCTTCCTCATTCGCCTTTCTTTTATTCATTTCTTATTTAAATTCAACAATAAAACTTGTTAGCATTTAAACTGCTACTTATTTAAAAAACCAAATCAATTTTTACATTTATTTAGTTTAACTTTTACATGTAAACGGTGTTCATACTTGATTCTTGATGTTACTGATTTACGACTGATTCTTCGACACGAGTAATCCCCATAATCATTACGTTTTTGGTCTTGTTGATACAATTCTTGTAGATAGCTGTCACTAGTTTTCGCCGCTACTATTTTTTGAAAGAAACAAATTCTTCAAGATGGAGAAATGATAATACTTTTTCTAATTCACGACAACGTGACTTTAAAATTGATGATGCTTATATGATGATGATGACGATGACAATAATAATAATTTCGTAGTTGTACCCTTTTGTAGCTGTCTGGATTGTTCTTCTTCAGGTACACAAAAGAGTAAGCGAGAGAAGAGAGAGTAATATAGATCAATAATTTCTCCCTAGTTTTTTTAGTCTCGTCGCACGCATTCAAGGACACAATACATAATGCAACAAAGACATTAAATGTGTGGTGTTAATTTTGTTATTTAATGTGTACAAATTTAATTTAAATAATAAACTTTGGGAGAAACATAGGTTCGTCCGCTAGAGATGTTGTGGGGAAATAAAATTGAAGAAGGAACAGTTGAACGAAGTCGCAGCATCGGTAAATAGATGATGATGATGATGATGATGATGATGATGATGATGATGATAATGATTATGATGATGATGATGACGATGGTGGTAATAATTGTCACAATAGTAGTGTTGTCTAGAGAACAGGAATTGCGCGAAAAATGATTAGGATTTGGTGAAATGGAACGATTGATAATAAATGATTAGGACTAATGATTCATGAGCTCTTGAAGGAATGGGAATAAGGGCGGGGATAACGATAGAGAATAGGATGTTTTTATTTATTAGGTTAAGAAAGGTAGGACTTAATCTTAGGAGGGTTAGTTGTCGCCAGCCTCCTGTGGTTCATCACCATCACCCTGTGTGTCGCTTGTCCAGAGCGTGAGGTTATCGCGCAACAATTGCATGATCAGTGTGGAATCTTTGTAACTGTCCTCGTTCAGTGTGTCCAATTCCGCAATTGCGTCGTCGAACGCCTAAAAAAAAAAAATCAGTGTTCAAGTTATTCATATTTTAAATAATTATTAATTTTTAATAAACACGGGAATCACAATTTGTTATTTGTTATTAATAATTTTCATGTAACTCAAATAAATAATTTTTTCATTTCAGTTTTAGGTAATATGTAAGATTAATTGCTTTTAATATTTTTTAAACATAGCAGAGGATAGTTAGTGGTACAATAGAGACATCACGGGATATTTTGACAATGCTTTCATTAGAAGGGTAATCGTTTGGGGGCTATTAAATAAAATAAAAAAAAACTCAAATAAAATCATGTTAAGTTTAAACAGCAAGCACAAACGTTTGACCGAACCTGCTTAGCCAAGTGACAAGCCCTGGCTGGGGAATTTATAATTTCATAATAAAAAACTGAGAAGTTGAGGGCAAGACCAAGCCTAATGGGATGTGTAGGCTGCATCTTTGCTTTTGCTATGTCAAACGCCTCTTGATATGCCTTTTGGGAATCTTCAACCACTGCTGTAACGCAAATCGTGACAAATAAAATAGTAATTAATAATCGAAATATATCATTTTTTAAATACTATCGTTAATTTCAACTTTTTGGATTAATAAAATAAAAAAAAAAAAAACACGACAAAACCGAGCAAGACAAACTGATTAGGGAAAACCATTTTTTTTTTGTTCAAAGCAAAGCAATGTCTCCATTATCTCGTTGAATTCTTCTCATTGCACCATTTCAACATCCTCAATCAATGTTTCTTTTGTAAATAGCACTGATTACGTATAATAATTGATGACCTAAAATGACAGCGGGAGTGTTAATAGAGTAGCCAATATAATACCTGTTTGGCCAGTTGACACGCCTTGTCTGGCGAATTCAGGATCTCGTAATAGAAGACTGAGAAGTTGAGCGCAAGACCTAGCCTGATTGGGTGGGTAGGTTGCATCTTCTCCTTGCTGATCTCAAAGGCATCCTGGTATGCCTTCTGGCTGTCATTTACGACGGCTGTACGTGCAATAATTTAGTATAATGGATATATTTATTTAATTAGTTGTTATTTATGTTAATTTGGTCTCAGCAATCCATGCAACACACACACACCTATTAATATTTTATTTAATTATTTTTATTAACCACTTTTAGCTCATCGTGCAACTCAGATAATAGAGCTTTTATTGATAAAGTCACGCAAAGCATCAAGTCAATTTCATTTACACTACTTCCTCATTAATTCGTGTATATACATATATTTTATCTATATATTACAAAAAAATAATATCTATATATTTATAAACAAAATACGATAAATTTAATTAATTAAATGTATTTTCTTTCTTACAAAATTAAATTGACTTGAGCTGTAGTATTTATACGATAACATTGATATTGATTTTAAAATAATACATGTACAATTGATTTATAGAATTAAAATAAAAATGTTTTTCAAGATAAATATAAGTGTCATCGTATAACTATTTTACGTAATAAAAATAATAAATTTAATAATTGATAAATAACATAAATATGTAAGATATTTATAAATGAATAAATATGTACCGTTTCTGGTTTCACCAGTTGCTACTTCCGCAAGATACCTGTAGTAGTCACCCTTCATCTTGAGGTAAAATACTTTACTTTCGGCATTGCTGGCCTTGGGGATCAGGTACTTATCTAAAAGACCCTGAAAAATAAATCAGTGAAATTAATAATTAAAACGAAAAATAGTTATAAAAAACAATGAAAAGATTTGATAGGTACTAATGTGACGGAATTACAATTTAATTGCTTGGCCTTTTATCTTTAAAACCGGAAGCGATAATGTTTCGATCGCAACAATTAGTCAATTACTTTCAATTTTCACGTATTACTACAAGTACTCTGAAATTTAGTTTTTAAAAAATAATGATAATAATTTTAATGAGTCTGATGTTTGTTTACTATATTATAACTTGATGAAATAATTAAAAATTGTTACGTACGAGATAAATATATTTGTTATCCGTCAAACACCGATATAAACATGTTGTTTACTAAAAGCTCAAACATATAACGTGAAACCGCATGAATATTACGTATTCACATACGAATACAGATAAGCTTTTGCACGTAACAATGCTCGAGTTTAATTATTAATTATATTTGATTCATAATTGTACGTAGATGGATTGAGTTTGAGTAAAACTAGTTCACACAATTGATACTTAGTATTTGGATATGAATGAAACAATAGTAATCAAAAATAATAGTTGCGATTATTATTATCGTTATTTGCACAGACGAGAAATTCTAGATATTATTAAATACATAAATAAAAAATTAAGTGCAATCATTTGACATTTAATAAAACGACTATTCATTCATATTTTAAAATACTTGAGAAGTTAGTTAGTACTCAATGATTGAGCAAGAACCGTTGAGGTGCGCCAACCGCTTCCTCTTCCATTTCCCATTAATTTCCGCATTCCATCACAGAACACCAACTCTTCATCGCTGTATTAAAAGGCTTTCTTGACTTTATTATCTTTACATAAAATATTTTTTTTATACTGAGATTTTTATATTATTTTTATACGTTAATTTGATCTAGAAGAGGATCAAGCTCAAATATCGGTAAGCGACCCAGCCGAGAAATTCAATACACTATTTTTCTCTCAAAGATCTCTCTTGTATTGGTATGTAGAACAAGTAAGACGATCCAGCTTTATTTTCAGATGTTTATTGTTCGTAATAATAGTTTTATATATATTTTTTCATCTTTATAATTTCAACTGATTGCTTATTTGCTTTTCATGAAGTGTATTTTTTAGAAAAGGATTAAATAAATTTCATAAATCATTTGAAAACAAAAGCAGACATGTAGTTGATAGTTTTGCCAAGTGCCAAAATCATTTTGGATGTAATCCAAATTACATAGTTAAACAAAAAGTTTTATAATATTTTATAAAATAAAATTATATTAATACAATAATAAATTTCTCTAACGATTATTAGACAAATAAAACTCATCAATTACCAGGATATTTGATCGTTAAATAAAATGAAGTATAACTAATAATATGACAATTCAAACACACTCTTTTCGACGTGATGAATTATTATAGTGTGTACATTATAAAATATAAAATAAGTTTGCATTAAAATATATTTTTTTTTTTTTTTTTTTTATTTGAAATGAGCCTTGGAAATACTCTATAGCAATTGTGTAAACATTAAACAGCTATGTAAGTGTACCCTAACGATACTAATTGTACAAATAATATTATTATTATCGTCATTAAAGATAATTTGTATCCAATACTCAAGTTGACAAATATGCACTACTCTATTATATGTCACGGTCATATTTATAATTAACCACCGACGCATTAGTGATAAAAATGAAAAGTCATTTACTGACTAAACAAATAATTTACAACTTTTTAATCATAAATCAATAAAAGCAATTATAAAATAAATTATTAATGTATGAATAAATTTATCAACAGCCAGCAAAATACAGTTTAGTGTAAAATAATAGATAAATAATTACCAATACGTCGTAGCAAATTTCACGCAATTCTTTTTCGACTTTTTCTCGGTATTCCTTGGCCATCTGCTGTTTACGCTCGGAGCCCTCGGTCTTCTGCTCGATCGAAGATATTACTCTCCACGAACTACGTCTCGCACCGACGACATTCTTGTAAGCAACGGACAGAAGGTTTCTTTCCTCATTTGATAATTCAACCCCCGTCTCAGTTACTGCCTTCATTGCGGCTGCCATGTCATCGTACCTTTCAGCCTGCTCTGCGAGCTTTGCACGCTGCACCAATTCTTCTTTGTCCACAGACATTGTGTCGGCTGTAACAAAAATAAAATCAACAATAAGTTAATTGATAAATCCACTAAAACAAATAACTTATTTCATAATAATTTTTCATTTTGCCTCGAAAATTCTAAATGCTAGCAGAGTTTTCAAACTTCCAATGGACCACATTTATATTCTGGGCAGGTGAGGATTTTTTTACCTGCCTAATTCTTCCAGATGTTCAAACTAGTTTAGCCCCGACTGTTTGAATAATTTCAAAGAACTATTTTTCTCTAAAGAATACTTTGAAGCGTTAACGCTTGAATTTAAAGTTACAACATCTGGATATATTTGAAAAATTTTTAAATGCTCCGCTCTATTGTTCTTATGAGACAAACGACCGGATCACGAAAACGGTGCAAATTAGAAGGAAGAATGCGTGGGCGAGCCACGATGATTTGTACAACCGTGACTAATTACTACAACCTTGACAACACATAAATTTTTTGATAACGTGGGAATTCCGATTGATAATAAAAAATAATAACTAGTCATCAGTTATCACCATTACATTGGATTAGTAATTAATGACTAATTAATTTAGAATTGTTAGGTACTTGTCAGAATATTTTTAGTCTTTAATCAAATTCTTAAACCTTACAATACCATGTAATTAAATAAATAAAACAATTTTGGCAAGGAAATGAAGAATAAAGCAAGATCTCAGTTCACTACGCCTACTCAGCTATTTAAACTATAAAACAACATCTATTTATATTATTATTATTATTATTATATTTATTTATTTATTGAGGATTTAAATTGACCTTAAGATAATTTACCAAGCTCCAAAATTTTTAATTTATCAAAACTATTGTATAGATACCCGACTAGCAACACTAAAATTACTTGTTAAATAGTTCAAGTATAAATCAATCTAAAAATAATAGGTCATTTATATTTTCAAGAATAATTACCCATCAAATCTAAAAAGCCTCAAACAAATATCGCTCAAAGTTAAATACAATAATACGGAAGATAAATGGATTAAATTGCAAGAATGAGATAGAGAAGGGTGCGAGTATGTCGTATCCTGTTTTATTCATACGCTTCCGGTTAGTACCTGAAATGAAAATGATTTCCAGATCATAATATACGTTCTATTTCATTTATTTCTCGCATAAAACATCATATATCTGAGATGATTATATAGTAGCGATGATAATTTATGATTTAGGGTACGGAATAAAATTTATTATAGTGCAATTCGTTACAAAACGTGCTCTATATTTCAATACATTACAATGCTATCACCTGGTACGTGTTAGATTTTATGAGGATCAACGCACGACGTTGCCGAATGTATGTCAGTGTTGCCGGCTCTTATTCGAACGTCTGGCAATTAAAAAAAAAAAAAATTAAACCAACGTTAAAACCTTACTTTCTTTCTTCAATTATAAATTACTCAATTAACGTATTAATTAACTAGTATTAATTCAGGTGTAGATTTATCTGATAAAAAAACAAGTGGATGCTTAAGTTCGAGTAGTAGTAAAAGTATAATTTAATTAGTTTAAATATTAATTTTTCGATTTTAACTCTACTATTTGCCACGATCGTTTAGATAATTATTTTATCAAACCTTTAGTATCTATCGTTATCAGTAAAACATATTTGATGTCAACAATACTGTATTTTTTTTTTAATCTTTCACATTGCCAATCTAAATTTAACAAAGGAAAAATCTATTTAACAAGAAGTTCAAGTCAAGAGTTTCCTCGAGAAAGTCACTTCAATGTCATCACCAAGAACCTCGACACGAATTCTTAACAACTTGGACAATTTCAGTGTCGGGAATACTCAATGGCCTTGAGTAAATTCTACGTAAGTTCATATATAAAAATTCCCCAGACGTGTCATTCCATTTCAATAATTACATCCATACATAAATTTTGATTTACCTAAAAACAAAAAATTATTGATTTAAAAAAAATTCTTAAAAACTTCATCAGTCTGATGATAAAAAAAAAATCATTACTTGTAACAAAAAAAAACCGTAACGAAGTATTTGAGGTTATAAAGTGGCGCCACATACATAAAAAAAAATTGAATCAATTAAATAATTAAAATTTTTTTCTAGGACCAGTGACTTGAAGTTAATTCTATTTAAAAGTTAAAAAATAAGTAGTCCGGTGAACAGTAAATAGAAAAAATAAAATAAAAAAAAAAAAAGATTGAGTAAAATGAGTACGAGTGAGCTAACGGACGTTGCGCCAATGCAGAGGCAGCGTCGTAGTACTATACGCGAAGAGACTTTTTGCGTCGTAGACTCAACGAGGATCGATAGCTCGTTACGAGACTTTGAGGGCAGCTTGCCGGATAGAAATGGGAGTTGAAAAAGTTTATGTATGTGTATATGTATATATAAATATAATATAAAATAAGAAGAAAAATATCTAGCAACGAATGAAGAGAAGTAATAAAAGGGAAGAATGTGCTTATGAAGAGGGTTACAAAAGACAAGAATAGCGCGCCGGATGTTAAGTAGCGGCAGCGGAGGCCAACGGCAAGCTTAGACTTTTAATAAGTCTCTCGTCATTGTAAAAATACAGTACCAAGAATTTAAATAATTACATTGAAAAAAAAAAAATTTTTAATAAATTTTCTTACCTATCTTAAAAATCCTTTATACAATAAATACTTAATTAAATTAACGGAGACGCGTGCGCTTCTCCGCTTTCACTTGCTATCACAAGAGAGACAAGTCAGTCAGTCAGTCAGTCAGTCAGTCAAGGTGTGCCTTGCTTACTTTGATGTATTCAAAGCTGAGTATTCAGACTAGAATTAACGACGCAGTTTAAAATTAGCGCCGATAAATATTATAGAGAATATTTTTTATTTAAATTCAATTCTCGGTAGATTGATTTTTAAAAATCAATTGTAACCAAAAAAAACTACCGGTTTGTTGATCACTTTTTACTCTTATGTACTACTTGGTTCTTTCCTTTTTTTTTTTTTTGGTTTCCAATCACGCGTTACAACTCAACACATCTCTCAATGACCACTCCCGCACAACGACTGAGCCGGCAACGCTGTCAGCAAGTGGGGATGAGGTGTCTCGGCAAACTCCGTCGGGACTTTCGGTCTAACTCGGAACTGTTCGGTTTAATTCGTCGGACCTCGGACTGAACCGAAATATTGATCTGTGCCGGCATGGCCGCCATCAAATGGCTGGGTGGGGCAGCGTCCCCGGGACGCCGTTGAATTCATCAAGTTATTTTACTATTCTTCTTTTGCTACTGCAAGCTCTCTTGTCATTTTTTATTTTATCTAGTTTTATTTTCTTTTAGAAAATAATCTCAAGAGATTTTGAGGAATATTGCTGGAGTTTCTCCCGAAGATTATCGGATCCGAAATCATGTCAAATGGACACAAAAATTCAAGATGATGTGGAAAAATTAAGCTTGGATATAAATAGGCTTATGATATATGATCTACTTATTTAAAATAAAATTGTGAAGCTATTTAAATTATGTTAAGATGTACGTAGTATGACTGATATTTAAATACGTTGTAATTAATATTCTGATTTTTTTTTTCAGGGATGGAAAATTTTCGATGATAAGAAACACAATTAATAAATAAATCAATTATTTATCAAAATGAAGTTAGCCGACATTTCAAAATTTTTAGAAATTTTTTATTGAAAAAATTTCAATTAAAAAATTAAAAAAAAAAATTTCACATGTAAAAAACTTGAAAATCTATAAATGCAATTTTTTAGAAATATCTTTTTAGTTGTAATTTAATTAATAAAAAAAATCAAAAATTTTTAGGCGTCGCTAACTTCAGTGTCATAATTATTTTATGTTCAAGTCGCAATTTTTTGATTTGTGGAGGTAAATTTCTGCGTATTATTGTATCTTCAATACATATGTATTAGTGCAAAAAAATATGATACTAAAATTATCAGACAATGACAATTCTTGAAATTTTTATAAAAAATATATTTTTAAAAATTTGCACTTATATTTTTTTATTTAAAATTTCTACATATGAAATTTTTTTTTCATTATAATTGAATTGTCAGAAAATTTTAAAAATTGTTAGATGTCTGTTAAACTCAGTAACATAAAAAAAAATTCTGGCTCTCAAATCTTTTAAAGTTAATAAGATAAAAACTAATCACTTTTCGTTATTTATAAAATTGACATTTTTATTCATATTTCTGTAATAATGATAAATTAATAATCTAATCTTAAGCCAAAGATTGAACTTTCAGCAGATAATTTATGTAATTCAATTATATTTGTAGGAAATCTCTGAGTACTTTCCAATACTTTTGATTAAAATTTCAAGCTAATTACAACTTACTAAACATCTAATAAATGGATAAATTTTTCTGACAATATTCCTCACAGGCAACTAAGCTTTTTTGATAATGAATAATTATTATGTTAATTTTTAATGTAAACCATCAGTTTTTTAAAATTAGGTCTGGTTACCGTGCACATGGCAATTATTCTTATATTACAATGCAAGAATTATTATCTTATTTAAAATTTTTTTGTAATTATTTTAAAAATGATTTTAGGTAATTGAAATTAGTGATGTAAGAGAAGTCTAAATAACCATTAACTGACAATAATTTTCTGGTTCATTTAATGAAAATAATTTTTATTGCATAATAATCGCTTGAGAGGTCAAAGCTTTGTTTGACTGTTCGTTAACCTCGCTAATTTTCCATCAACAACTATAGACTAAATACGTGTAGATTTATGTATAGGTAAGTGACAGTGATTTTATTATCTAAGAGATGTTAGCATAATTGCAATTATAATCAATAATCACTTTCATAATAATAATAATAATAATTATAATTATTATTATTGTATTCATTCGATTGTATAGTTTACTGACAGTGATAAATTAATTTTAGTTTTATACTCTTGAACAATAAGTATTATAAGAGTGTAAATAAAAATGAAGAAGAGGCATATGAAGACGATAATGACGAAGTAAAGTGTAATGTGAATAGTGAGAGGTAATTATGGGAAGAGTTTGTACAGGTTGACAGTGAGCAAGATGGTAACAAGAAGACATGGTTTGTTGAAACGGCTGGAAATGAAATATTGATCTGGGAAAACAGCGCGCGCAACCCCTGCAGACCCAACCCTATGTATTTTTCT